TCGCGAGGAAAATACCTGGCAAGTGTTTGAAAATTCCAAGATCCCCTCATCTTGAAATCCTGTAATAATGTATCATTCTGGCACGATTTCATACTCAGATTTTCTATGTTTGTTTACTTTCCATTATCTGGGTTGTGCTTTCATTAGAGACTTTCCCCGAGCCAACTTATCTGCAAAAATCCTTTCAGTCTTATTTGGAACTTTCTGCAACAGCCATTGGCAATAACATTGTAACTATTAAGTACGTACATGAAACCGTTTAGATCTCCTAAATGATGCTGGTTTTTTGTTAATAGTCATGTTAGCGGGAAAATTTTTTTCAAATATTGAAATCTTTGTTTGCAAATGCTAAAATCTTCCTCAGCACTGGCGGATCGGGGGGGGGGGGGGGGAGGGGGAGAGGGTGGGGGAAATTACAAAAATTTGCAAACGACTTGTTTATAAATGTAAACCATGATCATCAGAACAGAATAATCTCTAAAAAAATCTGTTGTAAAACATAGTATCTTCGCAAAAATTTTTCATAACTTGTAGCCCTCGGAGATTTTTCGTAAATATATTCCAGGTTAGGGGCGTTATATTGTCACCTCACCCCCCCCCCCACCTGAACGAAATATCTACCCTGGTCAGTGTTGAGAATTCGTGCTTTAATCCTTGCTCTTTAGTACTATTTCCTCCATTGTATGCTTTGTGAAATGTGGCGTAAACTAAAGAGCTAATTGTTTTGGTGCAAAGGATTCAGCTGAAGATGCTTTTGATTTGACGTCACTTAGAGTCGTTTTCCGGCGGATCTGTACTTCTTTGTGTAATATCACCGCCGCTGAGCTTTTCCTGTTGAAACTTGAATCTACTGATGTTTTGCACGTTTTGACAATTTCTATTTATCATTATATCAACTTGTCTGTTCTGTCGCTTTTAACAAGACTTTCACTTGGTTATAGAATGCACCATTTTGTTTCAAGTTTGCAGTTTTTACAAAATCAAAGGATCTCCACTAAAAATAAGGAGTGTGTGTTTATGACTATGTCAATCATCGTGCTGGCATGTCTTAAAGAGCCATTAGATATCTATGAATTGATGAGCATTATGCACGAAAAGTCAATGTCATGAAAGAATTCATTTAGTTTCTCCACCGCACGCGTTCATTACATGCAACCAAAAAAAAACATTTTCTAAGCTGCAAGACATTTGTTTTGCACACACGAGCTGCTTTCTAATTTATTTGACCTAATTTCTTAAAGAAATTTGGAAATTGTGGTTGTTGAAGTTTGAATGCAAAGCAAAAAATGAATCTGGTTAGTATGAGTGATTTAGGAATTTCAGTTTCTACTAATTTTGCGTAGATTCTCTGATTTTCAACAGGAAACTGGGGATATTTTGAAAAATTTATGTCGCCAGGCATTTTCAATAACCTGCACATTTTCTATTAAAAAAACCCATCGATTCACCACATTGTGCCCTTGATCGCTTCTTCTGAGCACATTGTTTGCCAGAAGGTAGCGAGTTTTATTCGGCTCATTCCTTTTCTTATTTTATGAGGTCTGAATTTTTGGCTATATGGACTCTACATTTTTCTCAAAAGCCAACTAATATTCTCTGAATTGCTGATTCATATGTCAGTTCATACGCTTTTCGAAAGCAATGCGCAGGACTCTCAGTTGCGAAATTTTTTCTTTTTAGGTTCATTTACTGCATATACTTTGCGGGGAAACAGTTAATCATAGAGCATCATGTTAAAAATAGATCTCCATTAAAAAAGCTCTCGAATGGAAGTCAAATAGCTTTCTTCTTCACTAGAGAAAGATTTATCGCTGGGCTGAAGCACTAATCGTGTGGGAACCCGGTGTTTATGGTGAACTTTGAGCCACATTACCATGAATATTTTTTCAGTTTGAGGAAGAAATGGAGAAAGAGGAGGCAGAGATGTTATGGCGTTTTTATTCCATATCAGATAGTGATTGTACTATTATAAGAAAGATTCTGCTAAATCTCTTTTGACGTTTACTTACCATCTGCCGTTGACATCCTTACCTCACCACTTATCAGCTCTTGTTTTATAGACATGTGCCAAAGAGCACGTCAAGTGTTGTTATGATTTTGATGTTAATTATCGATGACAGACTAATGAGGACAACGATAATCTTCTTAGGTGAATTGCACATTTAGTTAGTAATTAACACCCACATGGGGCTACTAAAGCATTAGCGCGTAATTATCGTAACCAGATTGCTGGCAAGTTACTTGAGCAGTCATTTAGCGTTGATATCCGATCCTGCTCATCTTCTTAACGTGGATTATTTGATGTTCGATTTTCTCCTATTTAGAATAGAAGAATAGATACTACCTTGATTTTTACCACTTTCTTAAACCAAACTTCTCTCCACGAATTTTTGCACTCATCAACAAGTTTTTAGATTTATTTCTGAGCGTATTTTTTTTTACCTTGAGCAATATCCGGGTTTTTGCAACCATGTTTTGAAATGTATAAGCCCAGTCCAGTAATGGATCGAATTTTTAGTAAGTCATAGTTGAATTCTAACCTTTGCTGGGCTGTCCTTCTACAGAATTTGATGGTGAGTGGTTTAGTAAAGTAAAGCGATAGACAATGTAGTTAAGAGAGTTAACAAAACATGCCTTTTTCATCTGCACGCTTGGACTTAGGGATAGAAGAGTTCACATTTTCACCATGTCACCATCTAAGAATCTCAGAACGTTGAGGTACCGTGTTCATCGATGGAATGGAATGAGCTTTTGGAGAAACGATCTAGTGCAAAAAGTGGGAACTGTTTTGCTGCCTAGTTAGCCGTTCAGACGCTGTTAAGTGAATATTTAATTGTTTTCTCACTAAAGAATTTCAATGGGATTAAAGTTTTGCATCAAAATTTCCAAAAAATTCGTCTAGAAATGCTCACGGCAGCGTTTCAAACTGTATAGTATTTTTTCAAGTATGGGATATATGCTATACATTATATACCTCATTTCAAACAATATCAAAACTCAGAAATGAAAATTTACAATTTATCGTAGAAACGTCCTATCACCGCAACTTAGATTCTAAATCTCGAGTAAAAAGTAAAATCAGAAACTTGCGGGCTTTTCAGCATTTTTGTGAATCAAAAGTTTGAAAAACGCAATTTAAGTGCTTGCCTAATCCATTGCCACGATATGGCAAACGGTAGTTTTTGCTTTTAGAATACATAAAAAGAGTAAGGTCTTCTCTTTCTGAATTATACAGATTCAAACGGGTTTATTGAATTTGGAGGAGATTATGGAATTAAAGAAATTCTCGTTATCTCCTAACCCAATATTTTCCTTTTCAGTCAGCCGTTCAGATAATCTGAGGGATTGAAAATTACCCAGACTATCATCTCACTGACGTATCTTTGCTCGGAATCTGTTACTAGATCTTTAGCAGAAGTTCTTGCATAGCGCAATTTGTAATACTGACTTCTATTAAAATCAAACCAGGCGTGTTTTCTTCGGTGAACCAGAATTGTTTTGAGATTCAGCTTCTCAGCTTACTACCGCTTCTGTGCTTGTTTGTTCGCTTCACGCAATTTGCGATGACCACAACACAATGACCATAATGATGTGCGGTGCGCGAGACAATCGTTCACTTACGTATTATGTATTATCACATTCACTCGCATATCCCCTTGGCTCTACGTTCGCTTTTACACTCGGCTGCATCTCATCGCTTAGTTTTTGTCCAGAGTTAAGTAAGAGCCAGAAAAAAAAACAAATTATTCTGAATTAGTTACCTTCGGCACTCAGTTGCTGTAGCTTCTGAATTTGCTATGCGGCTGCTTGCGTTTTTGCAGCTTTACTTTTTGACATCTATGAATTTCGAGTTTTCACATTGCTTTACGGGATGAGATTTTGACTATTCGCAGGCAGCGCCCAGGCTAAACTGACTTTATATGGCAACCGACCATAAGGCTAGGAAATTGTCAATTCGATCGCAAAACTCGATTAGATTTTCTCCAATCGGCCCTTCATTAAGTTCATCCATAGCCGAGAAATCAAACTTTGAACTGCTGCCCAGACCGTATTTTATCGTATTGGTCAGCTCGGAGGATGATTACGATTTGAGGCGAATTCTAGAACTGATCTCTTCGGCTACGATTGAATCATCTGAGCTGCCGATTAGGCAACGATTTAGCTGAGGCCTTCCAACCACGCGCAGAAAAATAACCAGGTATCCAGATTTGCCTGGACTTTGATTTTGGATAGTTTTAAATGTTTTTCGGGCTTGTCTAGCCCTCCCCGCCCCCGTCCACCCATTGTGCTAAGTTTTCCTGCCACCTCATTTTCTGGAGTAAGTGCAAACTTACATAAGCTACCACACACGGCTGCTGAGACAAGGCTGTGAAGGCAATTCCCTTGACACCGGCAGTCAGAGCTGCATTGCTAGGTTATTTATCGTATACACGACGACTGATTAACATATGAATATTTCGAGAGAGCGGACGAAGCAGACCATGTTTCTTAACGAATGCGTGCATGTCGTTTTCTTCCTGCTCCTTTTCACGCAATCAATGAAAGAAGGGATTTGACTTGGGGGCTGTAGTGTAGTCGAAAATGGCCAGTGCCGAAACGAGTTATCTCTTCGCTTGACCCTCTAAGCTCCACCCTTTAAGAGCCGACAGGGGCCGAAATGAGAAAATTCGATGAGAGCCATCACGTACACATCTTCTTCACCGGGGCGTTGCACCTTCACACAACATCTAATTCCTTTTTTTTTTCTCGCCAAAATTTGTTCTTCTAGGGCCGCATTAATTTGCCACCAAAAAATCTACCGTATCCACTGCCAAAGCGCTAATTTCTTTGTCTGAAATATTTCTTTTCATCCTCTATCGGCAGGGGTTGCAAATCTCCTCGAACGACTTCTTTTGTACGATTTTCGTTTTGCTATCGCAATAAATTCATGTCAGCCTTCATCTTTTTTCGTGCTCTTTTACAACGTTTCGTACATATTCCGGAAAACATTTCCTGCACATTTTCCAGATGTTTTGCTTTCTTTTATTATTATTGTACTTGGCTGTGTTGGCGGATGGCGAACAAGCAATCGTAGAGGGCCCACAGGAATCGTCTGTATTTTTAGGACAAACTGTAGTACTCAAGTGCAAAGTAAAAAATCAGGTAAATACTTAGGCAGTCTTTTTCATCTGAAGCTTTTCGAAATTGTAATTGTAGAAAGGTGCTGTGCAATGGATGAAAAATGGTTTTGGTTTGGGAGTGGATCGTCAGCTCAAGTTCTTTCCTAGATATTCGATGATAGGTAGTGCAAGTCGAGGAGAGTATAATTTACAGGTAAACATACGAAAATATATCCTTGTCGTCCTTTAATTATCACTCTGCATAGAATTTCCAGTACTCATATCACTTTTTTAGATAACAAACACAACCGTAGGCGACGATGACGTTTATGCTTGTCAAATAAGCGAAGCGGCGAGCGAACCATCCGTCATTTCGAATCCAGCCAAGCTTACAGTACTCAGTAAGAGTTTAGGGATTTCTATGAATATCTAAAGCATACAGGGTAATTAAGACTGTCTATGCGAATATCTTCTTGAGATTACTAGGTCATAAAATTTTTTGAGCTGAGGCATCGCGGTTCTTGCTATTTCTTAATACTTCTCATCTTGCCTTTCTTTTATCCTGAAAAACAAAAAGAATACTACGGCTTATTTTTTTTCATCTGCAAACCATAGCTCTGCATCCTAGGGATCTTCACTCCTTTTGTTTTTTGATCTATAAAAACAAGTTACGTAAGGACGTTATTCAATATGCACATATGGGATAGAATGAGTGTATTTGGAGATTAGAATGAGAGAAGGAAAACAAAGTGAAGTGAAGTGTATTTTCAAATTATATGTACATGTTCAAAATATATGTTTCTCTAATATGTATGTCGGTACATATATAGGTTTTTTGCTCTTAGCCTTACTGCAAATACAAACTTACACTGTATAACTTTCAATTAGCATTGGGTAAAAGCAGCATCTAGAAGAGGATTGTTTCTTTCAGGGTACTTATTTTTACTGGAGTTTTATCAACTATTTTATCAACTATTTTACCCTCTGTAAATAACAACTCAAAAATCAAGGGCTTCTCGCAATTTCGAAGCTTCAGGTAATAATTGCCTCGATAACGCGGTTTGTTCAGCGATTATTGCAAAAACAAAGTGCTCCGTAAAGGGCATGACCTAAGTGCTCGTTTCTTTGATTCGCGTGTAATATTCAAGTCCTCTTCCGCTCTCATTGTTGTTGATATATGCATCCACGCTAGTGAGCTTGGAACAGGCCCTGGAGCCTCTTCCTACTAAAGGGATTACCTCCTATCCTTATGATCAAATCAGCCTAGCACCGTTAATTGACTTGACGCTCAAGTCGCGACTAGTCGCGCGAGCATGGGCTCCACCGAATTCGTTAGGCCCCGCTCAATGTGATGCACATTCTCGATAAAATAGACACATAGACGTCAGTGCAAATGTGTGCTCTTTAGCTACTTAAAAAATGGCGTAGACATTCCCCGGGGACGTTTCAATGTCCGGCGTAAATCGATCGCATGTTAAGTGTCGGAACGCTTAATTGATGTATTCATGTGTCGTTTAGTTCGACCGACACCACCGAAACTCCAGAAGACAGGCCACTTTATGAATGCTGTGGCTGGAGAGAATGTGTTACAATCGTGCTTGTCCAGGAAAGGTAATCAAAAACTATGACATCGTAGAATATGCGATAGAAATGAAGCTCCAAACTGCTTCAGGTAAACCTCCACCAAGACTTGGATGGGCTTTGAGCTATGACGCTGAATGCCGAAATATCTCGGCATGGCTCGGTGAAACTCGTGTGAAATTTTCTCACTTGTTCAGTGAGTCAGCTACCTTACTGAGTGATTGAAAAGAAAAATTTGTATAGTTTTAGAAAACACGATAGCGACACAGGAGTCTCTACAAGCAGAGATCGAAGAGGAGATCCAAAAAGACGGCCACGGTTACATAGTTTCTAGTAATATCAGGTGAATGACAATTTTTTTTTGTTTTGTTTTTCAAGCAAAAAATGGCGAGTTCAGGAAAGTTTCAAAGGATCTATCACCTGTTCTAATGTTTTTTTTTTTCGTAAAAATGCATGATCACGAAAAATCAAATACAAGATTATAAAACTGAGTACATGCTAAAAGTTATTTTGTACCAGTTGACCTCCTCTTCCAGAGCTTTCTCATTGAAGCTATGGCTTACTCATTGATGGATGTTCTCACTCTAATTCTAATCTCAATGTGGCCCCGATAAGCCCTTTGCTGCTCCCACTGGCGTAGAGTGATTAAGATATCATGAGAAAGTGAAGAATAACTTTGGTGAACTTCATTGAACAATTGCATTTTTAGCCACTTAGGTCCATGCAGAAGAATTCTTCGAGATTTCAAAGAACTTTATGCCAAATTTATCATAATAGAAAATTATGACTTTAGTCTCATGATCTCTTCATCGACTTATGCCAATAAATATAGTAGGTAAAGGGTAAATTATACATAGCAATTGTTGTTCTTGACTTTTTCAGGCCACTTTTTCCTATTACAAGTGAATTGATGATATAGTAGTAGTTCTGAGTTTCGCTAAAAAAGCGACTCTAGTGTTACTGATCTCTGCACCGATATACTCCAAAATTTGTAAATTTTGATTTTTATGATATTGTCTAAATAAATTATTTGGAGGGTTGGTCAATCATAATATAAGACATCTGCTTTTTTGTGTCTTTCGTTTGTCTGGGTCGCTAGTATCCTTGGCTTTTATGTCCATTATTTTTTCTTCAATTTATGAATGGACAAAATTCGTTATAGGGTATGTATTCAAACCCTTTTCTAAGGCTCAAATATTGCGCATTATCGAACAAAGTCGTACTTCTAACTCTATTTTTTCTTGAGCTACGAAGCATTTCGTCTTATTATCCTCTAGACATATTTCTCTGCCTCTACCGCTCATTCTCAACATTTTCTTTGCACTAAGCGATGTAATTTTTCCAAAGTTATTGATTTTGTGTCTTCACAACGCTTTTCTCTGTATATCTTGTCACTCTTTCTAACACTATGCACCAATGAGACATTACGATGTGATACGTCTAGCAGTGGTGGCTCCGTTCAATTGATCATCTCGAAAGGCAGCGTAGACAACTGAGACAAATTAGCTCATTTGCATACATCGTGGTGCAGAGCTTTTGGGAACTTGTGTGAAATTCGTCAGATGGGGAATTTATTCGGTTGTGGGACACTGATTTTCACATAGATGAATATATTTCATAAATAATTACGATTGTTTTAATATCTCATCTCTTGTGAACGAAAGGGAGCAGATCAGAGTATATCGTCTCGATTACGGTAGCTCAGATATATTATTTCAACTGTTTAACAATGCGATACCCCAGTGAAATGTTAAAATTATTTTTCTGACCAATTCTGGTGATGACCTTCTAACGTTTTTTTTTGAGGCTCATATCTTTCAAGAGCGGCAGAGATAACTCTTTTATAGATCTCAAAGATTTCCATCGTATAAGAACCAGTAGATTACGGTAGCTTAGATACTCGAATGACCTTAGGCACTTTTTCTAGTAGCTGCGGTACTCTAGAGCAGGGCAAGAATTGCAAATTACATATTTCAAGCGCATTTCTTGTCCCATAACATCAAGTCATGCACTAACAGCCGCTACACGTTGTAAAACTATGTAGAGGGAACGGACATGATTTTACGGCAGTCGAGGGAATGGGAAAAATTGCCTTTGGCAGAAAATATTTTTATAACTGTTTGCATGGAACTAGGAGAGAATTTAGAGAAATGATTCCTTAATTTTTTGAGAAATTTTCTTGTAAAAAATAGTAACTGCATTTTTCGTATGGGCAAAAGATATGTCGCTAGAACAGGTGAATGAAAATCATGAGAACGCTTAATTCCAAAGCCTACCCATCACAAATGTACCTAAATCTCGAGGTAACAGAAACACATAAATCAAATGTCATCTCTACGACAAACCCGTGAAATTTTCAAGAGGTTTATAGTCATAAATTCTAAGGCAGTGTTGCTGGACCTTGATGGCACAATCTTGAGTATTCTACATTTGAAGGGAGTGCAAAGTTTCTGAAAACGTTCGTATTAATCATTTTCAGCTTTGTTCCACGACCTGGTGATGATCGCAAGTATCTTGTCTGCATGAGTCAGCATGACACGTTTCCGGAAAAGGTTAGTCTAATTCTAAATTTTCAAATGCTGATCTTGCAATACATAAATTTGTACATAAAAATACTATTTTGCTACCATATGGTCAATTTTGTGGCTTCTATTCCTTGAGCCTTGGTCTATTCAATCATACATGTCTGAGTCTGTTGCTTCTCCTTGATTTGTAAGCTTGAGTTGTCGCTAAAAGACATCTTCGCTGCACTGCTTGTTTATTGAAGCGGAAATCATAATATGCATCTTGAATGTTTGGTAGACTTTTCTAAAGTTTAACTGCAAATTATGCGGGGCTTTTTTGGCATAACAAGATAGCAGCTTTTGAGCAATCTACGTAGTGAATGAACTTTTGCGTTCTTATGTGTTCCCAAGAGTTTTGAAGATTAATATAATGTGTGAAAAAGCTAGTAACATGATGCAGTCGATAGTTAGCTGGAAATTTTCGAATTTTGCGGAATAGCGACGACCTTTGATTTTGAGTCTCATTCAGCCTTCTTTGCATTTTCCTAATGAATTACAAAGTTCATGTTTATTAGTTTTAGTTTCATTTCCAAAATAAGTCTAGTTCTTGAAAAATATGTAGAAGTAATTGTTCGGATCAAGTAAAGCTAGTAAGCTTTTCTCCGACAGAAGTCCACTACATATGGGACTTTGCTCGTCTAACTACCAGGTTTTCGCTCAAAATCCTATTCGGCTGCAAGATTTGAAGCTTCATAGTTTTGCACTCAAGCTTTGTCAAGAATTCTCTGCTTCGAAAGGTTGTGCTCCTCTCCCTAATTTTCGATGAGAGGTTGATTATGTTGCATCCAAGTTGATAGGTTATCATCATGGAAAAATTATTTCAAAACAAAACAGTGACTGGATCGGATAAATTTGAACAAAAAACCGCATATAAATTAGATCTGCTGAGGAATCGTATCTTGCAGTCCAGTAAAAACAAGAAAAAATAACCTTTCAGGTTGTTCAGATTAACGCTAAGATATCTACATACATTTTTCAGATTCAGATAAATTAAATCACTCAACAAATTTCAGCTATGCTTGGTTCTAAAAATACATGGAAATTCTTTAAAAAGACAGCCTGAAATGCCATTCTGGCTAGGAGGGAATCAAACTGGAATTTCATTCTTCTAAATATGCTGGCTGAAAGCTCGTGAGAAAACATTGTGACAGTCATAGAGAGTTCGTAAAAACGGTAAGAATTATTGTGAGGAACAGAGGGCATTTTGGACAATTTTCTTTTGAATTTTTAGTACACCATCAACTTTTCCTTTGCGAGCGCTAAGTTTAGGAAGGCTTAATTTAATTACATCGTAATTTTCGCATATCAACATTGTATCTGATGTAAACTACAATTTCCTTCTGATTTTTTACAAGAAAACTTTTTACTGGAAAAACAAGCAAAAACTCCCCGTTTCTCAAAAGACGTATAAACCAGAGCGATATATCCCAGCAGTAGACCCATAATAGACGCAGACTGTCGAAATAAATTTTGGTGTACGCTAGAATCTCCTTTTGGTTTCTTGTAAGGAAAATCATTTTTAAAAAACTAAGCAAAAACTCACCGTTTCTCAAAAGACGTATAAACCAGAGCAATATATCCCAGCAGTAGCCGCAGACTATCGTAGTAAATATTAGGTCGTTCCGAAAGTTCTTTCCGTTTTAACTTATCACAAAAATACGTGGAATGAAGATAGGGAAACGATTCAGGCACTGTCCGACGCAGCTTTTCTTTCTCTTTTCAACTGTCATACTCCTGTGCGGATTGCTCTTATGATCAGTGAGATAATGGCCGAAATTTCGAACCCATGGTTTTTACCATGTCCAACTTTGGCAATTTTTCACAATCTTCTATTTTGACTTTTGGAGAAGCCTTGATAGCAGTCAGATAGAGTAAGCAAAGCGCAATTTTATGCAATTTTTCGGCATCTATAGCTAGCCTCAAAACATTTTTAGAATTATTTTTCTGATGCTGTCAAATTCCACTTTTGGGGATGCCAAAAGCCACAGAACATAAAACGGCGCACAACTAAGGTGTCATTCGATGCAGCTTTTTCTCCTCTTTCCGAAGAGTTTTTTCCTCCCCAACTTATGGGGTTTTTGGCGACAAAATTTCCATGGATCATGATTTTGAACCCGCCTAAGGGTATTCGCATGAATTACGAATTTTTTTTATTTCAAAGCAGTAAACGCTCACTTACTTTGTAAATATAGTGGACCATCGTAACCAACTCTTGAAAGTTTCGAAAACCGAAGATTTGCTGATGTTCAGAGCGTTTGTGTGTTTTGTGACTTCAAAAAAATGAAGACTTCTGAAAAAGTTATCGAAAAAAATAATGAGAAGCCGGCTGAAATTGCCAAAAACTTGCATTGCATTGCACTTTGTTCACTCTATCTGAATGCTATCAAAGCTTCTCCAAAAGTTAAGAAAGAAGATAGTGAAATATTGCTAAATTTGGACATGGTAAAAACCATAGGTCCCAAATTTCGGCCAATATCTCACTGACCGCAATAGCAAGCGGTACAAGAATATGACAGTTGAAAAGAGGAAGAAAAGCTGCGTCGGACAGTGCCTGAAACTTTCCCCATCTTTATTCCACGTGTTTTTATGATATGTTGAAAAAACAGAAAGAACTTTCGGAACGACCTAATATGTGATGTGCGCTACAGTCTCCTACTGATTTTTTACAAGGAAAACTTTTTTCTAGAAACTCAAGCAAAAAATCCCCGTTTCTCAAAAGACGTATAAACCAGAGCAATATATCCCAGCAGTAGACCCATAATAGACGCAGACTGTCGTGATAAATATTCAATGTACACTGCAATCTCCTTCGGATTTTCTACAAGGGAAATTTTTTTCTGGAAACTCAAGCAAAAAATCCCCGTTTCTCAAAAGACGTATAAATCAGAGCAATATATCCCAGCAGTAGACCCATAATAGACGCAGACTGTCGTAATAAATATTTGGTGTACGCTAGAATCCCCTTCTAATTTTTTACAAGGACAGTTTTTTCTAGAAAATCAAGCAAAAGCTCCCCGTTTCTCAAAAGACGTATAAACATAGCAATATATCCCAGCAGTAGCCGCAGACTGTCATAGTAAATACGTGATGTGCGCTACAATCTCTTTCTGATTTTTTAAAAGTTTTTACTGGAAAAACAAGCAAGAACTTCCCGTTTCACAGAAGACGTATAAATCAGAGCAATATATCCCAGCAGTAGACCCATAATAAACGCAGACTCTCGTAATAAATATTCAATGTACACTGCAATCTCCTTGTGATTTTCTGTTAGGTTGATGCACAGTTTTTGCACCAAAATTTTAAAAATTCTGTTAATTCATCCAGCTGCGATGAAATCTTCTGGTTCGATACATAGTAGAAAGAGCAAATCTTGCGCTTTCTGACGGTGCTCAAGCCAAAAGTCCTTGAGGGCATATGGCAACGATAGAAGGTGAATAAAAGAAAACAAAAAGTGATTTTTCGATTTTTGGTCACTAAAATTGCGAAAACGTCTACTAGAATTTAAATTTATTTTTGGTCTAAGTTTTATGGCATGCTCTTTTTAACTAAGAGAAGTTGGTAGTGATTGGATGTCTCTGCGAATATTTACGAATCTCGATTTTTTGAAATGACTTAGTTTTGTTTTAAATTGATTTTCTAAAATGTACTATAAATTACTACTTTTGATATACATAACATAGAGCAGAACACGTAAGTTGAATAGTTTGTTTAAGCATTTTTAAAATAACTTTTTTGTATTTTTTGGTGCGAGAATTGTGCATCAACCCAATACAAGGGAAATTTTTTTGTAGAAACTCGAGCAAAAACTCCCTGTTTCTCAAAAGACGTATAAACGAGAGCGATATATCCCAGCAGTAGACCCATAATAGCCGCAGACTGTCGTAATAAATATTTGGTGTACGCTGCAATCTCCTTCTGATTTTTTACAAGGACAATTTTTTTCTAGAAAATCAAGCGAAACTTCCGTTTCTCAAAAGACGTATAAACGAGAGCAATATATACCGGCAGTAGACCCATGAAAGACGCAGACTGTCGTGATAAATATTTAATGTACGCTGCAATCTCCTTCTGATTTTCTACAAAAAAAACTTTTCCTGGAAACTCAAGCAAAAACTCCCCGTTTCTCAGAAGACGTATAAACTAGAGCAATGTATCCCAGCAGTAGACTCATGAAAGACGCAGACTGCCATAATAATCAAACCAGGATACAGCAAAGGTGGCTTTACGTCAGTAAGGTGTAGAAATAATATTGATAAAAGATTTAGGAGTTGAATGGAGCTTCCATGTTGAAATACATTGATTTTTGAGCTTCGTTTTACATATATCCTTTTATTATTTTTGGAGAAAAGAAATCACGCGCTTTTTATGGTAATTTAAGTGGAAGATTTCATGGCAATACAAGAAAATTACTTTGATTGTAGGATTTGTAACAATGCACAGTAGTAAATCTAAACATATGATTTTGTTTTGGGTGTGGATTCATACTTTATCTTTCTGACCAAAATGCCCGCGAATTGGTCAAAGGCTACTGCATGACAAAGGCAGAAGCAGTATCAGCTGAGCGAGCGCGAACGGGGCGCGCGTATCTACACCGTTGTAAATACTGTGCCTTATGCGCTCTGCGGCTAAGAAAGCCGCGTTCGTGTCCGAACATATTTCGCCTTTATCATGCTGCAGCCTATACCTCCTGAATTAGCTTTAGGTTTTGAACTTTTTTTGCTTTTCTGATTTCAGTCATGTAATCTGTTAAGTCAAACTCATATCTATTCATTTTGAAGTTCATAGCTATCTTGTCAGCAGAAAACCGAGTGTAGAACCTTGAAGACAGTGTCCGAGCAAAGTCGATTTCTCTCTGAGACATTTTGTTTTGGAGGGCAATACTACAAACTAGCAGAGGGAATTTGTGACATTTTTTTTTCACAAATCGTCATTTTCGTACAGATGTTGCCCGATCATGCTTTACTTAGCTAGAAATAACAGTTCAAAAACTTATGAACTAACCGTTTGGAATCTCGTTTTCACAGTTCCAGATTTTGTTTAAATTAGAATAATCAAGCTGTAGTCACTTTATCTCTTTTATCCTTGCATAGTGTTATAGCAGCAAACATGATTTACGCTTAGCAACAGATCAACAATTATCAAGCAAATTCGTTGAGATAGTGATAAGCTGCAATTTTCTAAAAGTGAAATCAAATTCGCCTTCGAAATTTGCACTCTTTCTATCAAATTGGAGTATAAGTCTTTCTTGCACCAATTTTCGAAAATCTTTAAGTATCTCTAGATTTATTGAGCCATTTATAACCAACCACATAGATAACCAATTAACCATAGATACAAAAATCATGCTCTTTCTAGCAGTGCTCAAAGCAAAGGCTAACGCTATCATATTGCTGTCATAGTGAAGACAAACACTGAAATCATTTTGTTAAAATTTTGGTAGTCAAAAGTGTTAGATCCAAAAATTGTGTTCTCTTTTAGTTTATGTTTCATAACCTACTCTTTCTTACTGGCGTAAATTTTTACTGTTCGTTTGCAAAAATTGTTTTCTCGAACTCCTTTTTTCGAAATGTGATTTTTTTCAAAATAAAATAGCTAATGTAAACCTTGAAAAAGAATAATACGAGTCAAAACGTTACCTAACCAATTTTGGACGAATTTTCTACAACTGTCGTGGAAGACTTATGTAATAATCGCCTAATAATCACCGTAAGGTAAAGGATTTTTAAAATTCAAGAAATTTCCCGTTGCTCACCACATGTAAGCCATAGCTGTATACCCTACTACGTCTTTCTTGTTCCCTTTAGTGAATAGTGTGCAGTGATCTACATCAAAGACGGTATTGCGCCAATTGTTAAGGTGTTACGGATGAATTGATATGCGAGAAGGCTTTTTAATTTGAGAAAAAAAGAGTTCTCTTTGGTATATCTCATTGAAATTTGATGCAAATGTGTCAGCCTGTATGTAGTGTCCCTAACGTTACCTACGCGATATATATTCAGTGAATTAATATGTTACTTAATAATGAAGACATTTCTTGTGATCAACAACAACCTTTTAATATTTTTTGGAGAGTCGCGAATGTATGGTAGCAGATGAAACAGGTTATGTTCAAGGGTCACTCTAAAGTTCAAGAAACACGCTACACCTAATATAACAAAAGAAACTCGTGTTTACAGTAAACTTCCTGAGGATTTGCCGTCGGAGGCTTCAGCTTAGTTAGTGATTTTTCACTAATAGTTTTCTCAGAGTGCACAAACGGGATGTTAAGTCGTTGCCAAGATTTTTCTCTATATGTCCAGGAAAACTTCAGACGAAGCCCCCTTTGATCTTGAAAATTTCGTATGAAGTCCCCATTGACCCTAAACCCTCGTAAAAAACCCCTAAAACGAAACTTCTATTATAAACGTCTCAATTTTTGTGTCTTTTCGACTAAAAACAATATCCCCTTTCCTTTTTGTTCCAAGAACGAAATCCACCTTGACCAGGTGCCAGCTGTGCCCAACTCTAATCTGAAGGACTACCGAATTTGATTTACCATGTTGTTACCTTACTTACCGAGTTCTGTTAGAATCTCTTGGGAAACAAAAGATCAAATAGAGTAAAAGAAAATGTTACGGTGTATAGCTGCCGATTTGCTGCTTACAGATTCGCTGACTAGCTTTGCTATCGTTGAAATTTTTATTTACAATCTCAGCTCTTGATTTGAGCTATGCAGTATTAGGATGAACTTGTCAGAATTGCAGGGAATTGCAATTCGAGCTAGTTGTAGCTAGATCACCACATAAAAGTGTGAAGTATTCAAGTTCCAATTGCCGCAGAAATTAGCCTCATGAGAACGTAGGTTTTGATTTTACAATCAAAAATCGGACTTCTACCTTGTATGAATTATCTTCTCAGTAAAATTTGCGGCAATCAGTTCGTAATAAATGTGTGTGAAACAGCAGAGCTATGTCTGCTATTGAATGATTCGTACTAAGCTGAAGCGACTCTGGCTTAGCGAAATATAATACAAGCACTGTCCGGGTGCGTAGAACACTACGGTATTTATTGGGTTGTTTCGAATGTTCTACCTTGTTTTACCTCTTTTTGAACTGCTGGTTTTAGAGAAAAATTATTCATGAACATTGTTTGCACTGTTTGAAAACTCTTTCCTTCTAATTTTTCGTGCATACTTTCGCTTTCATGGAGTTTTTTCGTTTTGTGGTTCCGCACCTGATAGGATAGCAAAACAAAAATGGAGATTTTCCTTTTTGCTTTACTGTCGTAAAATCTAAGGCCAGAGGGAAAATATCTTTCGAACCATAATTTCTACCCGAGACTTGTGTTACGAAATGGTTTATCGACATATGGTTTTAGAAAAATTTTGCCTGCAAATTTTTGGCGTAAACAAAACCGGTCGTTTGCTTATAGGTCGCATAAATTTCATAAGCGCAATACGATTGTGGAAAACTTGCTTTATATAATGAGATCACGAAATATTGCTGGAGAAACGAAAAAATTTTCTCGATTGTCAGCGTCCAGCAAAATTTGAAAATTCCACAAGTGCATGCTCTGCCACTCTGTAAAGCGAATTAAGTGGGTCTTACGGACTTTCTTGCAAATTTCTGAGAATTCGGTGAAATTCTCAGCAGTAGCGCTTAGCTGTGATACACAATGAGCAGTGCTGGGGCAATTCTACTAGATTAGTATATTTGAGAAGTTACGTCTAGGAAAAGGTTCTCTTGTTGCTGCAGTTAGTTGATTGGGTATGAATAGAACTGCAAAAGATTTGTAGACTGTAACTGCAATGATCATTTCTAAGAAGAGTTATGCTGATAGATCAGGAGCGGGTAGAACTTTTGAAACAACCCAGTATATCGCTGAAACTGCAAAGATGAGCAGGAATGCTGATATATTATGCTTTGAAGAAACTAGTCATTATTTGATAAATCTCATTGATTTAGAGCGAATGCGACTCCGTGAAGCTCATGCTACAGTATGCACCAAGAGTGAATCTTTCACTTGCTTCTCATCAAAAACTTCGAGAAGGTGGTTCAGCTTTTCTCGCCTGTAATGTAGACGCTAAGCCCTTGGATAATATCCGAATTGCATGGTATAAAAATGGTAATCAGCTACTTCCACATACAACTGATGTGAGTTTAACTCAACCCGTCATCAAGTTTCATTGTAAAAGATTTTCACGTTTAGACTCTGTTTCTCGAAACTTTGAAAATGGAAGATCATCGAACCGAGTACACATGTCAAGCGACAAACTCCGTCGGGACAAGCCGCTCATCAATGTGGATTGATGTGTCATGTTAGTGTTCACATAGTTTTTTTTCTGTCTTGAAAAATTATGAGGTTTTTTTTTCTTTCGCACTCTCGTCAGATTTCCAAGGCTAGTCCTAATCGTCGGATCTAAGCCCGTGAAGTTCCACTTGAAGGATATTTTACTCTTTCTTCTGCCCGCGATAATTTCACTATAGCTGAACCTGTAACAGAACGATTGCTGAATAAGCAAGGCTGGGCCATAAAATCATTTTGATACTGAATCTGCTTTGTGATTCAAGTTTTTGCTTTAGACTTCTAAGCTCGTACATCAGACTTCGCTCAAAAGTACCCGAAGGCGCGCAAGTTTCAGCACTTGAGCGTTGGTGTTGAAAACCTCATTTAACACCACAGCTTACCTTTGGCGCAAGTATACATATTTATCCTCTCTCGACTTTAGGGTAAGAAGTGTGATGATGAGCTTAGACGCATTACTACTTTCACCTCGCAAAAGAAATAATGATCATACACAATACAAAAGTTCATTTGGAGTGGGGCCATCCTGTAAGCGTTAACAAATTTCGAACGAGTCTCACTTGATAAATTGTGTATGCGGTTAAATTGTGTTGATTTTAACTTTGTAATTAGGAGTAGTTGTATGGCGAAGTTTGAACTAACGCTCAGCGTGATCGGAACAAAAATGTGATAATTTGGGTAGATGGAGCGTTATAGCATTTAACAATGTGTTAAACCCCAATGCCAGAAGTGGTGCGCGCAAATGAACGTTTTCTGGCGCTTTTAGACGCCTTTCAGCGCTTTTGGGTTTGTCACGGTAAATGCGAAAAGGGCGGGAACAACGTGAATAACATGAACGCAATGCAGTGCCACGATATTGCTAAACACGCAAGCTCAGCAATATCAGCACACAGGAAGGATTGCGGTTTGGCAATCCTCGCCTGCATTGTAGATCGGCATTATACTGCTCTACGAGCAATTACAACTCTGTGGACGAATTGACACTGCAGCTTAGCAGCAGAAGACCCCACCTGTTACGGCGTATAGTTTGCGCTTTCGCTCAGCAATGTATCTCTGGCATGCTTACAGGTTTAACATGTCAGTATAAGACCATAGGGCGCCATGATGGAGGAGAAGAGTGCGCGATGTAAATTTCAAGCGTAAACTGATTCGACAGACTGCATGAGCATCCAAGAACTTTTGCATGTGTTTATCATGATGCCAACGAACTTTTGAATAAATGCATAATTTCAGTCGGGCCTAGAATCATGTCCACTCCGCAAGAGAAGGAAGTCAACGAAGGCGAACCTGCATCATTTCGATGTGATGCTGTCGGGAATCCCAGTCCTACAATCTTGTGGACGAGAGCAGGAGACGATCAGATTCTTTCCAAAGGAGACACGTATGATTTTATTTGTTTGGAATATGGTTTCCTTATTTGATGTCTATTTGATTGACTTCGTTCTACTAATTATCTAACTTGATGGCGTCGCCCTAGAATGAAAAAATCTTTGAAATCACAAATCTCGAAAATGCTGTTCATCCGTTTCATTTCAACACGCAAATTTTTCAATCCGGCTTCGTCTTTTGTTACTGTACGCATACGGTATAATTTGCAAGCGGTTTTCACTTTCTTTTTGATTTTGCGCGTTGGACGTATGTGCTGAGTTACGGTGTGTAAGTAGTCAAATGGTGCATTTTTTCCCAAGTTTCGGGTGAAATCTGTAGTTGTATCTTTTTCTTTCAATCTTCTCAAGTGTTTATTATTTTACTTTTTGCATGATCAGTTTGACTGCGTTTCCATTCTATGGTCATAACAATGACATTTAGTAATCGCTTTACATTTTTAGGATCTCGATTAGCAATGCTCGTAGCTGGCAACAAGGTGAATACATCTGCACTGCAGTAGTCGAAGGATTCAAACATGCTTCCGTATCGCACTTTCTGCACATTCGAGGTGCGTTTTTTATGATCTTTGGGGATTGCTGATATATAATTGAAAGCCTTCCTTTTGGAATTAAAAGTTGCTAGAATGAGCACCAGTAGTTTGCCTCATATATGTAACTGTGGAAATAAATGCCTTGTCTTTTGAAATCAATTCGGGAATCAGATGTCTGTATTGTATGAACCTTTTCATAAGCAACACTCTCGTCTTTTTTTATCTTTACATTTAGAGTCGGTATCAGTTTTTGAAGTCAGCCACTCATTCAGGCCCTCCAATTATCACGGTTCCGGCTGAGGTGGCTGCTGACGTTGGAGAAACCGTTGAGATGTCCTGTCATGTCAGTGGCAGACCAAAACCATTGGAAGTGAACTGGAAAAAGAATGGCGAAGATCTTGACTATGCTTCAGGGAAGATGCAGGTTTGTGTTAGAAATAGCAGTTTACCCGTTATTCTCTGAGATCTGCTTTTCAAGGTCCATCAAATTCCACGGTCTTACGGTGTCGAAAGTCGACTGATAATTCGTGATTTACGAGAGATTGACATGGGTGCCTATAATTGCACGGCTAATAATGGTATTGGTGCAGATGCGAAAACAGTGACGCTGCAGCCACGTGGTGTTGGAAATCTTTTCGGTAGGTTTTTTCTTCTCTTGCTTTTCTTTTCTTTATTCTCAACTTATACCCTTCTAGTGTCGTATTTTATTTCCATGTTCTCTATGTTTTTTTATACTTATAACTAGTTTCTGTTACCTTCACGTCACAGACAACCTTTTTCCAGCTTACTTTGGCACAACCACACTGGTGGCACTTGCTACCGCCCTGCTCACTCTGCTCATATTCATATGCTGTTGTATAATCTATAAGCGCCCGATCTTACCAGAGAAAGGCGCTCGATTCATTGGTCAGCGGCTTTGTTCACTTCTATGTTCCTTTATGTTTAGAATGTAAACAATCTTGTTCGACTCTGTTTACATACCGTGTTCCATTCAGACGATCCATCGGACGTGACTGTGAAGTGCGAAGTCCTTGATGGAAATTTCTTCCCGGAAATGTATAGTTGTGGTGATGGTGGAAATATCGCATCTTCAAAGGTCATTTAATTGTGAAAAAGTGTTTTTCTAAAAAATGATCATGACTTTTACAGGACTACATATCTATCCCTCAAAATAATCCAGATTTGGATTATGTGCAAACAACAACATTCTTTAATTCCCTCTATCCTAAATGTGCTAATTCGTCGTCACCAGAATATAATGTCATGAATGGAAAAATGGAACATTCCTATGGATCATTCGCTTCTGGAGTCTCTACACCTGGAGGTATGTGTTCGTAAATGCTGTTTCCATGTAAAATGTCGCCAATATGTGAAGGTGTTGATTTTTTTTTCAAACTGTTTTTTCAAATGTTATTGAACAGTTATTATTGGTAATAATCCATTATTGTATCAAGTAGGTTACAAAATTAAGTTATAACACCTCACCAGTTATTTAGCTCTCTCCGATATGTACGGAATCAGCGTGGAAAAGGCACAAGGTCTTGAAACTTTGCAAGAAGTCGACACGCCGAATATCTCTAACTACAACTTTTTACAAACCGTCGATAATAGGCCACCTAGTAGGACGTCTACTCATGTATAGCCCGATATGTGCTTCTCATTCGAACATGATCTCAATCTGATTAGTCTATTAGAAGCTCTATTATATCTGAAAGTGTCATTTGTGCAAGTATTATCTAACTTTCTGACTCTCAGAGATATCCCTACACGAGTCAGGGAGTAGATGACGTCATTCGCTTACGTACAGTTCACAGATGATGTTCCAAAATTCGACATTAACTACCACCTATATTTGCGCTCATCGTTTTAATTCAAAATCTATACTAGCTATCGACTAGTCAGGTCTTGATCTTGTCCTAAGTCTCTGTTAGCGCCAGCTGACTCTTAAAGACAGTCTGCAGGTAAATCTGTACCTGAACGGCAGCTCCTATGACTCATTCGTAACCGAGGCTCAACACTTAACTCATGCCCAATACCACTTTCCTCGGGGCGGACTAAACAGCGACGAAGTACAGTCTGGGTTGGAGTATAGAATTGAAATGCTCAGCTGCGAATAAACAAAGAGCTGCCATGGGTTGCACGATCGAGTTCACTTGATCAGTTTCACAGATAAAATTTAGCTACCCAAGTTTGCCTGTGCACGGCCAAAAGAGATTTATTTCCGTGAGTGCTGTTCAAAAAATTTCTCTCCTAATGATTTTTCGATTATGGAACACTGCGTACTGTATCGTATCTTCATTGCCTTCAATTTCGGGTGCTTTTCTTGCAGTATAACTACTCATCATCGTTATATCAGTCCATTTAACCTTGCTGACGAGCTACATGCGATATGTCAATGTTTTTCTAGGCATCATAGCCGTCCATGCAAAAATTACTATGCAATTATCGTAAATCGTGAATCTTGCTCAGCCTGTGCTTGTCGATTTGTTTTTGTCGAACGGAGTGTAAATTGCCATTCTCTTAGTCACACCAGTATATGTGTTATAGTGTATTTGTACATTACATGATAGTTTCACATGTATTCTTTTTTGAATGAATATTTTCATTTGACAGACGTTAAAAAGATGTAGAAAAGCATGGCAGTTCCTTACAAAACCTCATTTTTTGTAATATACTTGCGAAAACCCACATTTGTGAAAATTCATAGCTGATGGACTAACTGTAATCTTCATTATTACCTATCTTTGGACAAACAAACATGAAAAATCAAAATTACATCATTAACAGAAAATTGATAGAACAGTATCGCATGTGTGACCGTGTTTCTTAGCTAGTAATATTCTATATAACCCTACAAATTCATATCATTGTGAATCCCAAAAGAACATAGGAAAAATCTGAAAGATTGTGCTTGTCAAAACTCTATGATTAGCAAAGCAATGACACCCGTGTAATCGACATCAGTGGCTTATGAATGAAAAAAATAAACTCTAAACAAGCACCACAGTACACATCAGTTTCGGATGATGAAAGGGTAAGAGCACTGAATATGGGGAAATTTATGTTAGTGGAGGTCTGCGATTAGAAGGATCGGCGATTAAGGCAAACTTAGGTTTTAAAAGCATAATGTAAGGTATGGTGCAGAGAAGTTGGTGGAGAAAGCTCTATACAAATGTAGGTTCGGGAGTTGAAAAACAACAAGTGGACTTTAAGCTGGAAGTTCGTTTGTTTCCTAAGACACCGTCCACGTGGAAGGCTGAACTGAACTCCTAGAAGAAACTCATCAGAAACTGGCAAATTGCCTTTCAGCGAGGGTATATTTACCTCGTGGTCATCGGATTCATCGGAATGCATGCTAGCGGCAACAACTTTCTCCCTCATTGCCGTAGCCAGCGTGTGAAAAGCATCCTCACAATTTATACCTGAAAAGGAGAAATTAGTGACAATCCAAGTGATTATCCCTTAGAAATGATAAAATATTGTACCTTAACAAATTTGTGAAAGCACTGCTTGAAAGCTCCCACTCTATAGAGAAGTCATGAAAGTTTTCGAAGTACTAACAAGGGAAAGGATATTTATGACCGCGGCCATTCACGCTGATATGATTATCATAAAATGCGCCTTTTAATGCTTCAAATACTATCTTCCAAATCTGCAAAACGATAGCCTGAATGGAGTTCGGATGATTTTTTTTCAAGAATGATTTGCGCTGCTGCGGAGGGTCAAAACCATCAATAAAAAATTTTCTATAGTTTTCAATTGCTGAATACGATTTAGATAGGTATAAATACACCAACACTCCCTCTAAGATACTCTTCATAGCTTTAAAAGGTAATTTGGAACGAATATGGTGATTTTAATTACTAAAAGTATGCAATTCTACGAAAAAGGCTCATGACTTCCTTCAAAAGATGGTTTCGCAGATATCGAGCACAAATTTACAATCAGCGTTTCGGGGTGCATCTTACTGTATACATCGCTATATGGCCACGGTCACCGAGTACCCTTTCCTTGTAAGATCTGGGAGTTTTTTCAAGAACAGAAGAAAACCTGGACCCGAAGCTGTGCTAAGCGACGAATATGAAAGTATAGAAACATCTGTTTGCGGAGAAAAATGAGCGAAAAGCCTTAACGCAAATATCGTTGCAGCTCTACACATCGGGTGCACATTTGCGACCCCAGCGCAAAACAGTTTAAGCTCCAAGGTGCAGACCATTTCCTGCCGACGCACCCTTACTTGACCAAAGTCGCTTACAGTACGTCTGAGTGATCAACTGCATGGACAAAAAAGCTTTTTGTAAGCCGAATGATGAGTGAAAATACATGAATTAGCAGAAAAAGTGAACATACAGTCCAGTCGTCACTAATGATCATATGTGTCATTGCACACAATGTCCGTCTTTGTCGTCTCCATCCTAAGTTTTCGAAGCAGGCACCTCTTTAAGTAAGCAATAGTTTCCTTCATCTTTTCTTCCCATCCAGGTACTACGAATCTCTCCGAAGTGAAGTAAGCGGCAACAATTTCTCGCTCTCTTGCATTTTTTTGGACCCGAAGTTCACGATGTGCAAAAGCGCACATTGCGTGCAATGACACAAAGATCATAAGGAATGACTCAACTGCAATCAGCAAACACGACAATTTATTACCAACCTCAACCACCTATTGGATATCGTATCATTTCCACGTAGTCACCCATTACTAAGGATAAGTTCATTTTTTACACGAGATACACTGGTTAAGTCAAGCGAAGCGTTTCTAGATCTCGATAATGTGTCATGACTCATAGACCAAATATGAAAAGCGTAGGATGGATGTGAATCGCAAACTTGTTTGGTGGCTTGAACTACTAACATGTAACACACAAAAACCAACTCCAATAAAAAACGCTAAACGGAGATTAGGACAAGAGGTGATCGGATTTACCTGTTTTTGCGGAAACCTCATACAGCGACACTCCCAAGCGAGTTGCCAATTGTTCCGCGCGTCTGAAGTCGACCTGAAGAATATCTATCCTGACTGTAACGCTCAAGGCATAAGTGCTGGTGTACATTGTCAACGGAAAGATATAAGACCCCACCCCAATTCTCCTGCTCCAACTAACTAGCAGTAAATCCTGGACTTCTTATGTGAATGTTGTTTGAAATATCATCAAAGCCTATGCCCAAGCGACATTTCATACGATTATCGCATCCGAAAAAAAAACTCTGAACTCCCAAACCGTGCTCTTTCGGAGCGGCCAATCAGCACACCGCACTTTAGGTCGCCGATTGGTCCGCAATGAATGTGCGGGAGAGTTCAAAATGATTTTCTCAGTCATGAATACACTGAGCTGCCGCTTGGACCACAAAATTACTTAGATGCCCATAAAACCCATACGAAACTCCAGGTATCAACATTTGCCTGTACATTTCGTTTCTGGGTCATTTATGATATTTTTACGAGCATGACACTAAAAAAAGTATTTTTATGAGCATGACACTAAAAACGTCCAGAACTTATTCACTTCGCACTCCAAGAGATTCACTACTCTTACATACACACCATCGAATAGGTCAAAATAACGTCAACGGGCTGTATCAGCAAAACATAGTTTCAAATAAGTGAAACTTTGTTTACTGGCTGCTTACCAGCCTTACTTCTGCCAGTAGCCAACGTAAAGTTCTCAAAAACAAATGAGAAAACAGAAAAGTGAATGAAGCTTTGCTCAAGTAGTAGAAAAACAACATCGTGTCAGACGCAGAGACTGATCCTTTATTTGTCTAGATGAGTGCTTGCGTAGTATGAAGTGCGAGAAACCGTGTCGCTCAAGGTTTTTCTAGGCAAAACCACTGACAGGATCTAGGTAAAGCAAACAGTGCGATAGCTAATGGAGAGGCTCAAATATCCACCAAATTGCAAACTCAACTAAAATCATTTGAAGTACAGATCTCGATATAAACCGTTTTGATTAAACTTTACACAAAAAGACGTATGCCCAATTCCAACCCGATCACTTCGTTCGTATAACATATGTCAAACATATGCAAACCATCAGACATGAGACACTATGACTAATCGCTGTGTCACATGAAAAATGAGGATAACCCAAAACCTGCAGTAAAAAGGGCATGCGACACATGATTATGGGAATAACGCTAAAGCTCATCAAATCCGCATGGCATAAATGATATGCGGAGGAAATCGAAAAAAATGTAACCTCACATGTAACAAATCAAATACTACCAGATTATATCGCTTTCATAGGTGACAACTATGTAGAGACTACTATATCGTAGTATTTTATTTGTGATGGTTGTCTGTTCATCAAAAACTGCAACTTGATTTTTGAGTGTAAGTTTTGATCGCCTAAATCCGAAAAGCCAGAAATTTCTGGTGATAAGTGAGTCGAATATGGCTGAAGGTTCCTTCTCATTTGCTAAAAACACGATGACAAGTACAAAAAAGTGATGCTATATACACGCCATATTACCTCATTAGAGAAATGTCTATATACATAGCGATGGAACATCAACAATTAGCTCACATTTGAAAAGTCGTGGGGGGTTAATAATCGGTAGTCCGAAAAGAAGTACGTGACAGGCTCAGATAATTGAATATGCATCTCAAAAAAGTAAAAAAAAACTATTTCCGACTCCTGGATGATATATGAAGGTGCGCATTAATCATTCATATGAATCATGCATTATTCATAACTTCCAAAGTACTACTGCGGCGCCCTTGATACTACAAAGAAACTGGCAAGATGCCCATGGGTCACGATTTCAAAGAAGCGGTAATAGAAGAAATGTGAGACGTCAAAATCAAAACACACAGTCATGAACAGAATATCTCACCTTTCGTTCATTAACCAAATCGGCCTTGTTACCGATAAGCATCAACACAGAATTTTGCGGAGCATGCTGTCTAATTTCTTTTAGCCAGTAGTTCTCCAAGCTATTGAAAGAATTCTCATTCGTCATATCGTACACGCACATGACACCATGAGCCGAATGATAGTAGGAATTGTAGATAGTACGATATCTTTCCATACCAGCTGTGTCCCACAATTCTAATCGAATCTGAGAAAGAAATAGAGTTCAATAGCTTTCATTCAAAATAAAGATAGAACTCCTACCTTATCACGGCCCAATTTGATAGTTTTCAATTTGAAATCAACCCCGATAGTGCTTACATGATCAACACGGAAAGAATTTTCGGCAAATCGGAGAAGTATACAAGATTTTCCGCAATTGTGGTCGCCGACCACTACTATCTGAAAGAAAACAAAGGGTTCAACACAGCGAGATAAAGGAGAAAGTGACATTAAGAATGAGAACAAAACGGGAGTGCTGACACTGACAGCTGTCCCAAGATTTTTTGTGAAAAACTCTCCCAGGAGGTTTGGGGTGAACTTTTGGAAAAAGATTAGAGGAAAAAGGAGATAGTGGGGTTAATTAAGGTAAATAAGAAAAGAAGATTGTTGGTTAATCGAAAATGAAGAAAGAATGTCAAAGATCAAAGGTATCATAAAATTTGAACTCACTTTAAAAAGATGATTGTAGCTCATGGTCGCGCATGGGGTTGTTCTGTGAGGGGGCGGACCAGTGAATCATAAAGGAAGACACACAGACAGCGCAGCACATTGAGCGGAGGCGACCGCGATGTTGTACCTCGACGATTATTGAACGATTGGTAGGCATGCAATCGCGGCAGCCCGCGATTGTGTTCGTCGTGTCGCACCGACGCACGTCGGCTGCGCGGCTGTGCCTAAATCAATTCGTTGCTCGTAACGAGCCCCCAAATCCACGCGCGACACACTCGGCCACCACCGACGATGGGCATTCATTACTTTTCCCGCACAACAATGACGCCAAGCACTCGCTCGCGTCTTCGTTTTCCACTGACGTTCGCGGCGGCATCGCAGCAATGACATTTCCGAAAAGCAATAACACTTAGTATGCCGACGCGAAATTGGCCTTGTCCTTCAAGTCTCCTAACCGAACAACCGAACAAGGAAGCCATAAAGCCATCATGAAAATCGCAGCGTTTTGAGCAGCATTCAAGAACCTATTCACTCTCACTGCAGCTTTGCTTAGAAATAATGACTTTCCCTTTTTGTTCACCACGAAAATGTCCATCAACACTCCATTTTCACGCAATTGGCACGTGGAACAGCATTTGCACGACATGCACGTGTGCTGCCTTCTGCTTTTTCGAGCAAATTTTCTGTCCTTTGAGTGCGCGAATAAGTACAAAGCATATGCTTCAAGTTATTCCCACGTGGTCAAACGTATACGACAGGCTATGGCTACCCAACATGGTGAAGGTTGAGTGGCAAATTGACCCATCGCGTGCATTTGCACCACAACGCGCGAATTTCGGAACATCGAGAACGCCCTAGTTTGCTGCTGCGCTTGGTGAGTATTATTTAGCGATTTCGAAGGTACAAAACGTGTAAGAAGCTGGTTTTTTTCAAGGTCAATCTGACGCTGGCAGTGTTCCAGAACCGGCATGATAGTGCAAATATGCGCGTCGCGACAAACAATGCTCAATCAAATAATGACATAGATCGTATGTCTGGGAAGATCCGTAGTACCATAATTATTGATCATTCTACAGATTATCAAACCTCGTAGTATGATCTCGGTCAATTCGGAAACTGTTAATTGCCTGTTTTACAGACCATATTTTAAACATGGTGCGCGAAGACGTTGCGCCCAGCGTATTCGCACTATTGCGGACCACGCATTTGCAAGGGAATACATACAAAAACATGTTTGCGTGATACTTGACAGTCTTTCATGTTTTCTGCTTACAAAACAGATTTCTTTGCTGTTATATCGACCAGATGAATACAGCGCTTAGGATGGATTTCACAGCGCCGTATACACTAGTAGATTTTTTCTGGAAGATGTTTTCCTTGGTTCCTTGTTGTTTTGCCAATATAACAGTCCTGCTGTGCTGTATGCTCCTCAGAACATACGAATAGCAATGTGGAAGTTCCCCCACTCCTCAAATATGCTTTGAAACCTAATTCAATTTGGTAAGCATGTGAATTCTTATTACCGTTATGTATGAGAGGGAGTGAATCTTTGAGAAGACCTTCAAACCTGAGTTACTTTTTCTCATACTCGATGGAAAATTACTGCAGAGTCTTGACGACTGAGAAAGGAAAACGAAAATGGTCGGAGAAAAGAACTCACGCGGATATATGATGATAGCGTGCAAACCATAGGACAAGATGAAAACTTCTTTGGGAAAATCTTTCTTTACTGCGAGGGTGGGTAAATACTGCAGGACTTCATGTGAGCTCAAGTAAAGAGTAAGTGTCACCGCTTTCGCTTTTTGTGGCTGGCTTTTTACTTCAAAGAACGAGGAATTAATGAAATAACGCGATCAATCAATCAAAAAGACATGCAAAACCATACTATATGCTTTCGAGCGGTCGACTGCGCTTCCTTGCTTCTGTAATGTATCTCGCGCCTACACTTTCTCGCCTTCATGGTTCATGGGTGTGGGTGGAGGGAGCCAATAGGGCGGGGTAAGCCAGCCAAGGAGCAATTTTCCGCTTTTAAACTTGGTTCCTCTTCTGCATTTGAACAAGAGCTCAAATGGTTAGCCTAATTTAGTATTTCGTAATAATTTCTGCACAGCTTCACCCAAATAAATACCAATTAAGTGGCTTCAGCCAATACAGATAATGGCATGCCGGACGAGGAACAATTGTCCAGATCAGCGACCTCATTATTACTGTACCCATATTAATGACAGCAAGCTAACGATTACATTTTCGAATGAGCCGATGCCTAATCAACTATATTTACATACCGACTATCTGGAATAACTTATTCACTGGAACAAATTTCTTTGTTAGCACGGCGTTAGGTGGAATTGTTAATGGACTACAGCTGAAATCGCTGCAATAATGGTGCGGTCGCGACAAAATCGAAGGTTACAGTAAACAATTGCCGAACACACATTGCATGACTGCATTCGGACAAAACACCTTTGAAGTTGCTACTCGTCAACAACTGTGTTTCTGTGTTTAGAATGCACAGGACGTATACAAATTAAGGCTCGGATCATTTCATTTCGTTCCAGTGGTAATAGGAAATGGGAGCGTCGCTAGCCAGGTCAGAATAAGAAATGTTAGCTGGAAAAGTTAGACCATAAAAAAATACTCTAATGACGTATGACTTTTGAAAAACCTGATCCGAAGATCTTACAAAAAGTCATAAATGAAATGAGACAAAGTTCTACTATATTCCGTCATTTTTCTAAACCTCTAACTAATCTCGTGAACTCTTGACACTTAACGAGATTCTAGACGATTTCCTAGCCAAGAGAATTTGTTGAACATTTTTACAAAAAATATTTTGAAACAAATTCCACGCGAGTGCATGGATTTCCATTTTGAGAGACATTTTCTCCACGTGAAATATAGTTTAAGGGAAGGAATTTCTTAAGCGTTCATAAGAATCAATTCTTCAGACATCTTTGCCACTGTATGCGTGGTTTACTCATTGACATAGGCATGGGCCACCGGTGGCCCATACCATAACAGACAATTTTGGTTTTTTTCCAGCAGATGGGATGGGTTTCCAATAATCAGCCCTACTAGCTTTTACTTTCACGTCAACATCACTACTTGAGAGAACGGCCCATGATGACGCAAGTCATCAAAATTTGATGGCGAAAGTTGTGCAAAATCTCATCGCCGTTAATGGTTGGCTAAGAAAACTCTAGACATTGCGTTTTCGAGAAGCCTGAGTTTCTAAAGGAGTTTTCGAAACTGAGGAAAATTCACTCCCCCTAAAAAGTAGTTTAAAAAAATCAGTCTTTCTCCACGGTTGTAGATGAATTAATTGTGTGAAAATTCTCTACGCAGAATAAGACTATGAAACTTTGTACGATGCAAACCTATGAAATCAAGTTTGATTAAACGTATGATATGAAAATGATAAAATGTAAATAAATACAGGGTGTCCCAAAAAGATGTGCCTTGTGTTTGATGATGAATGATGAATGAAGATGTGTTTGAATGTTAATAACTCTTGTAATGAAGTTTTTCGAGAAGCTTCAGGAACCACTTTGTAGAACTGGCTTCAACTTAGATTAATTGTACGAAGAGGATTACGACTGCTTTCTATTATTGTAGAATTACGGCAGAAAATTTGAAGAGGATTTTGAGCCACGAAAGGTCATACATTGCTTCAGAAATGAAAAAACAACCTGAAAACTCTCACCTGGGCTGATTAGAGTTGTTGATTATAAATATGAAGTTCGCAACTTATCATAATGCTTCATTAAAAAAATAAGCCAGGTAAGCAGTAGCGGCCTTTTTTCAATGTTCCAAGTGCTGTTATTCCATTTAGAAAGCTTCGCAATCTTGTACATAGTTGAGTAATGAACAATTTCTCACATTTTCTAAAAATTTTGGAAACGGAAGCTTTTTTCAAAGTAACACCATATGTTTCTACCGTATTTCAGTAATGAAGTGAGATCGGTGATTCCTTTTATATTGTAAATCTAAGTTGAAGCCAGTGCTACAAAATGGTACTTAAAACTTCTCGAAAGACTTCATTACAAGAGAGTTATTGACAGTCAAACAGAGACACATCTTTTTGGGACACCCGGTATATGAATAAACGCAATTCTCAACGTTCTCATTCCAAAGTAAATTTGACTTACTCTAATCCATACTTCAACAATACAAATAAAAACCGCTTTTCGGATTTTTTAAACGCTTTCTGCGTTGTATTATATGTCTTTAGCTATCGAAGCCTGCTCGAAGACCAACGCCTATTCATTCGTTTTCCAAAGCTATGTATCCCAGCAATTTGTCCAAGAGACCCGACAGATGCTGCTTTGGCTCTCGTCAATCCCAGTGCTCTATCGTTTCTATTACGAAGTGCAGCGCCTCGTAATGGGTGATAATTCTATCTCTCCATGCATATCATAGTATCGGCAAAGTGCGGGTACGATGTCTTTACCATAAACATGTTCCTTGATTGTTTCCTTGGATGGTAAGAAGTATGCACTTCAACCCATGATTTTGAAAAACATCACCGCAAACGGAGGAAGGACCCTGCAAATCTTTTAACGACAGGTTGAAACAGGAATTTTGAGATAAGTATTTCTTGTAAACTCGTAACTTCAAGTTTGTGTGCACGTTTCATTTAAAGTAAATGTACCGCACATAGAAAAGGGATAAAATAGGTTTTTATGAATGATTGATATATCTGCTGTCATTTTTTTTCCAGTTCTTATGAAGTTGGAACTTATGAGCTGCTGTGTAGTAGCTTTATTACCCATGAAATTTTCACAAAAATAAAAAAAAACGAGAAAAAAGTAAAGGGCAGATATAAACTACAGTTATCAGTATACTGAAATGTTTCGCAAAATGTTCGATGTATGTCACGTCTATCGAAAAAAACATGCATAATACTTTATACCCGTCATTTATGCTCATTATAAAATTGTAAAACTTTCTATTCTAAACGAAAAAGCAAAAATGCGACAGAAACTTGTGCTGTGACTTAATAACTTATACAATACTACACTCAAAATATGCAATATTTCCGTAAATGGCGCGGAATTCCTGAAATGTCGCGGACTTTCGTGGAATTCCCGAAATTTTGCGACATTCACGGAAATTTTGCACATTCTGAGAGTGGTATTGTATAGGTCTTAATCTATCGTATATATTCACATAATTTGCGTCGTTTCTGCTTCTTCGTAAAAGATTGTCAGAATTAAGCCGATTTTTTTAACTAAATAAATACATAAATGCTACACCATAAACTTTCTTGCAGTGTTCAAGCTGTCTTTAATAATATTAGCCCTTTGTTAGGGAAAGCAAAGTAGCAGCCATTCTTTGCTCAAAGAGGACACTCAAGATTGTTATCAGTCTTCTGCGGTCACATCATAATCTAGAAGACAATCTGACTTGGCCTATTCCATAGCATGTTTGATAGTGATGTGGGAATGGACTAAATGGTATAATGACTACACAAATGTTGGAGTTGCGTCAAGCCAATCCAAAATTTAACCGTGATTGTAAAATCACAGAATGAAGAGGAGGGAGGGGGGGGGGGGTTCGCAGGGTTCTACCAATTCAAAACTTGCAGCATTTGAGCTTTGCTCCTTTGTCATGCACTTGAAGACAGTTTTTTATTTGGTGCAAACTTGATGTTCCACTAAGACCAATTTTTGTGTAATCAAACACTTCCAGATAGCGGAAAATTGCTTCCTAGCTGCAAAGAAAAACACCTATGTTATTCTTTCTAAGTACTCTAGAATCTCAGAATTTTGGGATCAAAGTACTCAAAAAGCTTTGATAAAAATTATTGTAGTTCTTCAACTTGCCGAGTTTTTTCCAGCTACTCACAATGAATTGCGACCACATCCAAGATTTTCACACATATCAACAAAAGAAATCAAGGTGTCAGAGAAATCTTGTCTTCTTTCTTCGTTTCCGAAAACATTTCGTCATCAGTCCGTCTGTTTTTATACTTCTGTTACAACTATTATATGAGAAGGCGAGGAAAAATCGCTTTTAATGGGTCCAAAAATAGGTTTTTAAAGAAAACCAGACAATTCCGTTGATGTCAGCTTCGCAAAAGATCCACATTTTTCACAAACATAAAAATTACATAAGATTTAAACATTCTATATGTATTTCTTCTCTCTTTCAGCAACTACAGTTAAGCTCATAACTCTTGAGTAAAAAACTGGTTGCTGTATGGTGACAAACACGTCAATTTTCATGATTTTCTTAGATTTATTCTCAAAAGGTACGGAATACTTCACTGCAAAGGATTTATTCAACGAATGCTTTACTTTCTGCAAGCATCATTGCTCATAGCGTTTTCATCGTTTAAGACAAACAAGAGACGGCAGAAAAAGTAAAATGACGGCAGCACACGAAAGCACGTCATCATGGCAAGCATTTTCTTAAGAAAAAGACCCATTTAACTCCAATTTAGCTTTTACGGTGCAGGCAGGCGGAATATCATCGATTTGGTCTGTAACTAATAAATATGCGGGTCTAACTTGCACAACCACATTTATTTTTCATATATATTACATCACAGCAATAAAATTTGATGAGAAAACAACAAAAAACGTCATTTGAATTGAAGACATGAAATTCAAAGCAAATGAAAGACAGCAAGGATATCTCAATGCAATAAAGTCCCGTTTCATTGGTTGTCAGAGAAGAATATCTGAGCCATTCGCTGCCTTTGTTGAGGCGAATATGTGTCGACATCTAAGGAAAGGGCTCAAAGCTCAAATACGGGAAACATTGAGTGGCAACCAACCTGGCCTGTAGAACTTCTCATCGTATGGCCAGCCGTTACGAATTTGATGCATTAGAAATTGCTCAGCCATTATTCTTTTATCCTTGAAAAAAATAAGCTAATTGAAATCGTAACCAAGGAAAAAATATGAAATGAAATATAATTCTTGATACTACTATCATTGTATTATTACTGATGTCATTTTTAGTAACATTCGTTATTTTTTAGGCTACGTCCAGTACGGGTGCCAGCCAAGTTCTAGCGCGGTGCTCACGCCGCGTCGAAACTGTGTTGATGGTTGGTCGATCGATCAAAATGGTACATCCGCGTAGATTCCAGCACGGCGCTGGAGCGGCGTTGGCACGACTTGGCACACTTGCAACTCTGGATGCAGCCTCACTTGTTCTCTTAGCGGCTATGCTGAGAGAGAATTGTGATTCGGCTTTAACTAGGCCAATTAATCAAATACCCTAATTTTAAGCGTATAAGGCGCGGGGGATTTTTTTCCAAAATCGACCAGCCCAGACAAGCCAAAGGACTTTACAACCAAAGGACCCTATAACGTGCTGTCTATTGCTTGAGAGAATCGTGCGATGTAAGGATTTCTTTCCGGAATACAGTGAAGCGGCTGAGCGGCTCGCTTGAAAATTCGAAAATGTGCGCTTTATACGCGTGAAATTAGGGTACTTGTTTTTGCTGGTGACCAAAAACAAGTGATTGCTATCCTAATTTCACAAGTACAGGACGCACCTGCTTTTTTCCAAATTCGAGCAGCCTGAACCTACTATAAATTTCGCGACTAAATGATCTTATACAATGCTGCTTATTGCTCAAGAATAATGAGCGATAGCAGCATTGTATAGGATTTCTGCACGAAATGTAATCATTCAAGCTTTTTCGCTATCGTGCCCAATTAACAAAAGGATTCCAAGAAGAGGCTCAAAAAGCACTCTCTGCATACTTGGTCATTCTCAATCTGAAAAATATGAGACTGCAAAATTAGCATGATAAACTCTGTTGATTTTGTTATAACTATCTCTTAGTACTGAATCAGTTGTTACATGTTTAGCACCACTTTTCGGCATTGTGAATCAGCTCTGGAAATTCTACAAGAAAAAATACCCCCAGTGGAATTTCTATGGGAAACGATTAGTCATGATGACTGAGTTGCCAGACTGATACGAATTTCATTGTTAGCAGTTGTATACATACGTTTATTTATTCTCCATTTGGTCAGCCATGAGTCATCCAAGGTGTGATGGCTTGGAAGTGGAAGTAGAGAAAACGAAAGCGTTCTAGGGGCTATACGAACCTGTCCGGAGAACAGCTGAGAAGGAAGATTTGGGCTGAGAGGTTTGACTTGATTTCCTTGTTCTGGCACAGAAACAGCGGCAAATGCTGCAGGTGCTTTTCGCTTAGGGGGCTGAAACTAATCAAAACTTGAGCTTTCAGGAATTCCGAATTCCACTCTTGTTCCAGTACCGCTCGAATCTGCTCCGTTGTCGCAACCGATTCTGATTTTTCAGTGGTAGTGGGAGTGTTGAAAACTCTTTCTGAGCTCAATTCAGCCATTCCATCAGCCGAAACAGGAACATTTCTTGTAGAAGCTTCGCTTGAGATTAAGGTTGAAGCTGAGCCGCTCGTCGTTCTGACAGCCGCCTTCTTCTCCACGCTTTGCTTCAGTTGGATGGTGTTTCTAAAATAAATGTTCATGAAATTGTTACCTTCAGCCTGAAACAAATTAAGAGTTAGAGTAAAATTACCAACTGGAGCGGTTATACAATACTGCTCACATTTTTTGAAAAATAGGCGCGAATGTAGCATAACTCTTGCGACGGTCGCGTGACTTATGCGACGAAATTGTTATACAAACCGGGACAAAGAAAATCATAGGCGACTTTTAGTTGTTAGTTAATATCGATTTATTGATTTTTTTCCAGCAAGTTGAGCTGGTGCACTGATATTCGGTACAGCGGAATGAGGAATCTGTTTGCGTAGCAAAAATTTCATAATATAATTAGCCATCGCATTTATCGGAAAGTTTGGCTATGATGAAACAAACGATTTTGGCTTGATAATGTTAAACTCTCTCATAGCGCCCTTACTTCCCTAAACTGGGTCGAAAAATGGTAAAATGGAGAAAGCAGTTAGAAGCACAGTACCTACCTAGCCTTACCGATACAGAAGTTTCGGAATTTCAAAGAACATGCACAGAACTTTGTGATTTTTATAACAGAATGAAAACTTGGCTGCTCTACAGCTAAAAATTGGATTAGAAAAAGACGAACTAAAGGGACATTCAATTTGGGACAGGGACGGCTCAAACTGCTACCACTTAGCCTCAATTTTCGAAAAAAATCTCGCTAATGCCGCGTTTTCCACTTCGACAAACCTGGCCTAATTCCACACTACAGTTTGAAATTAAGAATTCATTCCTCGAAAAAGATGGAGAGACTTATTTGCATTCTACAGCTATAACACTAAACTGTGTTGACACGATTGACAGGTATTGGTTCCAAATTCAATATACCATTTTGTGATTGTGACAGGCAATAAGGCACGCAATCGCGCAAAATGTATAAAGGACAATTTCGATCAAAGTAAACAAATAACACTACTTTTGAGGGAAATTCAATATTCCTCTGGCTCTGAAATAGGAAAAGATGCAGAAATTGGAATACACCATATACATCGACGTAACATCAGGGAGATTCACAGACTTTTAAGTCTGCATTATCGCTACGTCAGAGCACTTGTTAAACAGGAAATTGGGCTCCTCATCACATTTATTCAATTTTGCATAAAAGTGGAACGGATCGGTGATACATTATTTTTATGAACAGCGACCGAGCGTACTACATACTTAGCCTCAGTTTTCGGTAGGAACAATTCGCTTTCTGTTTCATAAGCCTTTTCCAGCTTGAACAGTTCTTAATTCTCAATAAATAGAATTTCTCAATATTCTTTTTATCTTTGAAGAGAAACTTGAGCTATCATTCATTTGCATGATGCTTGATCCATTTGAAGATAGAAGCCAATGAATCATTTGTTGATGGCAAAAAAAAACCTGGATCACTGCCAAAATTTTATGCACCCCACACTTGCTCGTATATACACTATCCATATCCGACATTCTTATACATGTAATTCTTTGTGGGGTGCAAATCGGGAAAATTAGATTTTTATCCCTGGCTACAAATCAAATAGATGAGAGTTTTAATGTTTTTGTCATAGCTATGCTGGGCTATTCAAATAAAGTAACTCTATACTACATTTTTCAGAAATGTAAACATGAATTTTTAGCCTCCAGGCTTTAGTTCTCGAGAAGTATCGAATTCAAGGTAAACGATCCTGAAAGGGTAAGCTAAAACTGTCATTTCCTGCGCCCAAAGGTTCGTAGTATAGAATTACCTATTTGAATAGCCCAGCGTTACTTTGGCAAAAACATAAAATTCTTCATTTCTCGACTGCCAGCCAGGGAAAATGCTTGAACAAGTTGGGACTTCATAGAAATTTTTAGGCGGAGATACGATTATTTTTAATTTTTCCTCCAGAGTTTTTTTTACAATCTGGTTTTAAAGTCGAGGTGGAGCAAAATTCAACTTACGCTCAACTTTCATCTTATAGAGCCGCTTTGCTCTATCGGATAATATGCCGACACCTCCGTACTATGTGAGAACAACAACTTATACCGCTTCAAAATCGGAAAACAAAATTCGTTACACAATCTATTAGGTTGGATCGAAAGTTCGTTTGCACCAAATTCAAAAATTCAAAACTTCTGGTTTTAGAAACGGATTTGCATGTTTCTATTTTTGGCTGAAAGAGCAACTCGTTCTCTTCGTAGCGATGTCTTAGCGGCGTTTTAATGAGCATACACTGCACAGATATAAGCGGTAGAAAAAAAATACTCAAATTTTCGATATTCTGTGGGTCATAAAAATTCTGAAACTTGCAGTAAAAATCGGAGCAGTCGGTATTATAGGTTCTATTACCAGCTCTTTCTAACTGTGCAAAGTTTGTGTTGATTGAGCGTCTCCATGAAAAGTTATGATTTTCGAGCAAGTAATACAAAAGGGCGAATTTGATTAATTTTGATTTTTCAGGGAAATCATAAGTTTTCATAGAGACGATCAATCGGCGTAAACTTTGCACTGTTAGAAAGGGATGGTGAAAGAACCTGAAATACCGACTGTTTCGATTTTGTTGCAAGTTTCCGATTTTTATGACCCTACACACAGAAAATTCGAATTTTGACTAATTTTCTTCTATCGCTCCCATCTATGCAACAGATGATCATTAGCAAGCAGCCAAGATGTCATTATAAAGAGCATGGTTTACTCTTTCACACAAAAATAGGAGTAGTCAAATCGGTTGGATCAGAAGTTATGAATTTTCGAAAATGGTGCGGACGAACTTTTACTCTTATATGAAAAAAAAAAAACCCCGAGAAGCGACATTTTCGTTTTTTGGTCTATTATTTTTAATTTTAATCCATGGAAGAATTTACGGATCTGTATGTGAATTTGGTTAGAACAATATATGCATGAACAGGATGGAGTACTATAGCATTTTTGGGACAAAGATACAATTTTGGCGCAATAAAAAATTTCTAGTTTTCCATTTTATGCGAACGAAGGCAATCTTGTAGGAGTATGCTTTGCTCTGAGAAAAAGCCTCACTGAAGAAGTAGATGTCTATTATTTGCTTAAGTAAATAGGAAGCAAATTTGTAAACCATTTCAGTACATCAAGCAGTAATCACAGCTGTAATGGGACTACATTAAAATACTGTATGAAAGCATGTGTTAATGGAGGTTTCCTTCAGCCTGGTCAAATGTCGAGAACAGTTTCGGCCGAGTTTCAAAAAGCCAAGTGGTGAAAAACTATGGCTTACGGTAGGTGGTACGGTACATGGCAGTGGCGGTCCCAGGACTTCCGTCTCGGGGGGGGGGGAGAGCAAAATTTCTTCGAACTGAAGGTGCTTGACGTTAGCCACGCACTCCGAAAATTCTTTAGGGTGCTTCTCAGAGTTTTTGCGAGTCCATAACCCCAAATCTAGTTAAAGAGGGCGTGGCTGTCAATACGCCCCTCCCCAAAAATTTTATTACAAGGCTGACTGGTATTTTCAAATATTCATAATTGCTTTGATTATTTACAAGAATAAACAAGTCACTTGCATCTTTTGTGGCCCATGTAAGTAAATTTCAAAAAATTTGCGACTCATTCTCGAGGGGCGAGGATGGGGGCCTGGGATCGCAATTGGTACATGGTGAAAATGTTTGGAGGGGTGTAGGGCGTTAGGCGACAAACCCAATTTTTTGGACCCCAAAGAACTCCCCGTGCAAAACGTCTCCTCCGCCAAAAACAGGGGAGTGGGGGTCGGGGCCGATACATAACCCGACGCCAATGAAAAAATGGTGCATAGTTTTGAGTTACGGGATTTACGTTGCTTGCGTTTTGCACGTTTTGTCGCCTAACGCTTGCCCTCCTGTTTGGAGCATTTACTGCTGTGAAGTTTCGTAAAATGCTGCCTATGTGCAGCCAATTGGAGATTTTGACTCTTTTCGGCAAGCCTATAGTAAAATTACTTGAATAAAATTGAATGGAGGATTTACCTTTGGTAATTTTCTTGCTCAGCAGATCTACTTCTAGGCACAGGCGTTCTTGAAGGAGATCTCTCTACTTCAGCTGAAATGCGCTAAATTTGTACATGATAACCAAATATGGAGAGCCTGCTAAATTACCATTGTTTGCGACTGTCAGGCTGCTGCGATCCAGTACTTGCAGTGGTGCTTTATTTTCAGAACGTCGAATATTATTTTCAGTGGAGTCAAGGATATTCGAGGCAAACTCGTACGATTCGCAACAAATTGACTGTCCTCCTACAGGATGGCAATACGCTTTGCTCTGAAAATGACAGGATGAATAAGCTATTTTCTCAATGTTTTAGATCTGAGCACGCATCAAGCGACTGAGCTACTTGCCAAACGCGATACAGCGCGCGAATTTTGAAAGCATAATCTTGGTTTGATGTCACTGCTATACTGTGTTTACTTAAAAGCAACGTACAATGAGCTATACATGCTTTGGTACACTTCCAAAATCACATGGTGAGTGGGATCGCACGCCCAAGGCATAAGATACTTACTGGACATCTCTTCCTTGCATTACACATCACCGGAAGGCCATTACGGCTCAGGAGACCTATCGAATTCGATGGGCATTCCAAAGGTTGACTGGGTACTTTTGAAGCTTTTGTTCGTGGCTTTTCCGTAGCGTCTACTTGGGCAGTTCCGCCTATGTGTTCACAGCATATATAATCACGTCCGACAAGTGAGCATTTTTGTGAGGCCTGAAATAAGAAGCAGATAAGTAGGAACTGCGTAAAAGAGAAAGCATTTCTTTTAACAAAAAAAAAACGATGGGTTCAATTTGGGATATATGAATTGAGAAAAACTTTTCTCAAGCAGCGTCCACAGTCGTCCTACACCGGCGCTGCGCCAGCGCCGGTTGGAGCCCCCTCCATGTACGCGCTCTGTATTGATTGATCGACGTTCCGGCAAGGCACGGGAACGGCGCTAGCACGAGCAACTGTATACGCAGCCTTATCGCTTCACAGATGAGTAGGCTTTCCACAGTTTTCAAGGTTGCTTGGACGTCATAAAACTAATCACTTATTAGCTTACTTGACGCGCTTACAAAACGTGCAGACTGTGAAAATATTAGGTCGGTGCAAAAGTTTTGTCAGTTTATTTCAATCCATCGGCAAACAAGCTAGAATGAAGATAAGCGAGCACTTTAAAATGTATCCGAAGCAGAAATTCTTCCTCTTTCCAGCTGCTAAACTTCCATTGTGTTTCGTTGAGAGAGTAATGAGATATTTGCTGGAAATTACAACCATTCGTTTTTAGCATGTCCAAATTTCGCTAATTTTAAAAAATTTTGTATGGGACTTTCGGAGGAGTAATAACCACCAGATAGGGCAAACATTTCGCCAACTTATGCAACTTTTTTCGTTTTTACAGCTGCTTTTTCAGATTTTTGCTAAGTAATTTTCTAAAAATCTTGTGTTTCGAAAAATCGCATAACCTGTTATTGCACCAAACACTGCAAAACCTACAGAATACTCAGTTTTCAACACTCGATTATACTACCGCTACTATTACAAAGTAAATGAGCGATTTTCGCTTCAAATTATAAAAATTTTGAAACATAGGTCAGTCCGTGCGCACTCCTGAAATTAAGAAATACTGCAATTTTCCACACAAGTTTCGCCTGTATTAGCAAAAAAGACAAGTGTTAGAAGGAGGAGAGAAAGTTGCATCGAATGGTGAGTGAAATGTTTAACATAATTGTTCTACGGTGTTAAAATAGGCTGAATGTAAAATTTGGTCCTTCCAAATAATAAATCGTAGGAATTCTGAAAAACAAGCAGTAGGGATACAAAAAACCGCTTCTGTTGGCAAAAGGTTTGCCCTATCTGGTGGTTATTAGGGCTCCTCTGAAAGTCTCATACAAAAATTTTGAAAATTAGCGAAAGTTGGACATGCTAAAAACGAGTGATTGTAATTGTAAATATCTCATCATTCTCGCAACGAAACACAATGGGAGTTTAACAGCTGGAAAGAGGAAGAATTTCTGTTTCGGATACATTTTGAAATGTTTGTTTGTATCCATTCTAACGTGTTCGCCGATGGATTGAAAAAATTGACAAAACTTTTGCAACGACCTAATATATCGGGATTGTCAGATTGAAAATAACCATATTCAGTAATGTAAGAAATGGGGTATTTAACGTATTCATCCAAATACTACCCGTTATTTGTTTCAAGGTCAGCACTGAATGATCAACATTGCAGTAGCTTTTCTTTCCAGGAATGATATCCTCGCTCTAGCGTTTGCGAGTTAGCCCTAAAATTTCGGATATAGGGAAGTGGTAGAAGGTTATTTGGATTTTTGAAGATCTGAAAAAGTTATTCCAATAATTTACAAATAAAAGCAAGTCACAGGCACAATTTTATGAATCATGTCTACCTTCAAATAATATCGGATTTTGTTTTGAAATTATGAGTAACATCAGTTTTTTTGGAGCTTTGAATATTGAAAGATGGAAATTTGTCCAGAATAAAAGTATTGTAGCAAAACTTGGAGTATCTGTCCACTCCAGATTGCAACGTATCTGCTTTTGTGCACGCATCTTCGTTTGCGTTTTTGATTGATGAGACTTTTGGTGTACGGATATTTCGTAGAAACTGCTTTTCTAACGCAAAAAAATGGTCATTTTTTGCGTGATTTCAAAATACAAACAGAAAAAGTCCCAGTTTTCTTGAATTGTTGACCAGGAAGTAATAAGGTTTCTTAATCTTTAGAAACTTTAATCAAAACTTTGCCAGATCTAATTATTACACAATCCTTGCTGATATAAATTCGACCCTATTTGAGGCATGATTCAGATGATGGATTGAAGATCACGAAGGGAACAACCCTAAATGCTTAGAAATAGATACGAAATTAAAACTAGCCTTAGGGCATGCATAGGTCCAAGTGTTGCATTTCATTGGTTGGCCACTCGAATCGAGTACTGTAAGCGACTGGCCAGGGCAAACAATTTGACTTTTTATGGTCGGTTCACTTGAAGGACAGCACATATAGTTCATTCCGGAGAAGAAACATGCATATCCATCTCCACAGACTATGCGTGATGACGAACCTGCAAAGTAGGAGAGTGAGGTTCTAAAACGATGGGCACTATCACTTGATTGAAAAAAGTGGATTGATTTTTCACTTGCTATTCCTAAAATTCTATTTGCGGCAAAAATTGAAAAAAAATATTGATAGGAGGTCTCAGAGAATAAGCTCAAACCATAAAATACCTTCACCATTTAAGAAACGAAATACAGTGTTATATTTAAATACCTGGTATGCATTGAATAAATCGACCATTCTTATCCAGCTTTGGTAGATCATCATTCGGGCAAGTGGGTTGGCGTACTGTAAAAGCTACCATAAACTACCGTAATACCCAAAAATAATAATCATATCAATTTAGAGATACCGTACTCGCAAAAGCTCCTTTAAATAAAAGAATCAGCAGTAATATCTGTTGCATGACGGATGAGTGTGTATCGTTGAGATAACGTTTGGTTGAGACACACACTCGCCCTACTAATGCGCGGCCGCTCGATTAACCCCTTTTCATGACAAGACTTCATTTGCCGAAGGTCATCATTAGTGTGTGTGCTATGTTCGGGTTTTAGGTGTTCATTTGAGCGGGAAGTAAAAAAAAAATTTCGTTCTAATGTGGAAGCGGCTGCTGAAACTTTAGGAATGTGTATGGTTGTCCCCATTTCAGTAATTACTCGATGGACATTGATTTCAGCTGAATTAGGACGAGTTTTTTACACTTAGACAAAAAACCTTTATAACTTTTTTCAGAAGTTTTTGCTCATTTTCAGATCGAGTGTAGAGTTGCTTTTTTTCCAATACATACATGTCGCGAATGAAAAATTCAATTTTTAAATTCTTCGCAATGTTTTCGAATTTTTTGGCAAATTTCCAATATGCATTATTGAGGAGCGTAGACTTCCAAACTGCCTCCATATCAATGCCGATGTGCCCGGCCCGGAAATTTATAGAAAATTTTGAAGCATAAAAAAAGCGGATTTATAGATAAAAGAAAAAGGGAGCTTGAAGTGCTGTCACAAAAGTGCATTTTATATTCTGTAATCCGTAATTGAGAAGGTATGTTGCCAATAGATAGTCCTTTGTCCATTGCTCATATGCCAAATAGTGGACTTTGCTAAAGTTTTTGAACTTTTTTAAGAGAAAAGTGAAGAAAGTGTCAAAAAACTCAAGTCACGACCTTATATCAGGTTGGTCCATAAGTCTTACGCAATGTAAAACTGCACCTATAAAATATCCGAGAGTAAGTTTATTTTTTTTATCACATATTGTAACCCACAATAACTGTTCTATTTTACTATGTATATTTGATTTATACGAACATAATAATAATGTCGAGAAAAATTTGAAAACCACAATTAGCTATAAATATTCGATCACCACAAAATTCTCTCATTTTCAAAGAATAGAACGTATCCGTGAGAAAAATTCAAACTATTAGGTTGATGCAAAAATAATGGCCGCTTTGCGAATTGTCGCTCTGACGTGCTATGAAATTTTTGAAAATCCACATTGAATACGGTAAAGACCTTCAAAGCAGCAAACTTTTTGCAATGCAAACTTATTTGTACACACATCACAAAAGGGCACAAAAATATGGACTAAAACCATAAAGGTTTTTTTAAACCTTGCTTTGGAGAATTCATAGCTTCCTCAGAGTTTGTTAGTTTGAATGACAAGTGGCCTATCTTGTAGACGCAAGCTATTAGTATGAACTGCGATTGAAAAGACCTGGACAAAAAATTTGCGAAAAGGAAAAAATCAGAATTTAAAGCTGTCAGTTGTTTGAACATTTTTCAGTATGTTTCAATGTCCCGAGTATAGAATTGTGATTTTCTGCGTACCAAACAGCCGGATGTTCTTGCAAAAACTGCCATTAGGATGCTCTAGCTCTATGCTTACAGAATTGCGCAACGCTTTGGCGATTAGAAGAAACTTATGGGTCATAAAATGACAGCAACCGTCACCCAAGTTGAAGGGCCGATATCTCAGTCTGGATTTCTTCAAAAATACGGTTGAGAATGCATAATATAGACAACTAGTTGACTTACCCGGCTTCGCCCGACCCTGTCATTATTATATTCGTAATCAGCATGCTCGATTACCCCCCTATGCCAACTCCCAGCACCCTAGCTCAAATTTTGCAAAAAATCGATAAAATCGATATCGATCGATGACGAAGAGTAGCCTATGACACCCGCCGGGGCCCGAAGTGTATGTGTGCCAAGTTTGGTCCGGATCGATTCAGAAATGGAATTTTCTATTCGGAACATACGTACAGACATACAGACAGACATACAGACAGACAGACAAACAGACATTCAGCTTTATATAAAAGAATTTCTATCAAATACAATAGCTAAATTTTCGAAGATGCGGCATTCACACTCGCTTGAGTTTCGGCCGAAAAGTGAATGCAATGAAATTCTGAATTCGAATGCAGTTATTTAAAGCTCAGTGATTTCATAAAAGATGAGGAAAGCCCGCTTCAAACACCATTAGATGCATGAAAACAGCTTCTCAGTGGCATGCTACATCTTATATATAAAGCTGAATGTCTGTTTGTCTGTCTGTCTGTCTGTATGTCTGTGTGTACGTATGTTCCGAATAGAAAATTCCATTTCTGAACCGATCCGGACCAAACTTGGCACACGTACACTTCGGGCCCCGGCGGGTGTCATAGGCTACTTTTCATCATCGATCGATATCGATTTTATCGATTTTTTGCGAAATTTGAGCTACGGGGCTGGGAGTTGGCATAGGGGGGTAATCGAACATGCTGATTTCGAATATAATAATGACAGGGCCGGGCGGAGCCGGGTAAGTCAACTAGTATATCTTAAAGAAGAAAATTTTGACCAAGAAAAATTGCCTTGAAAAAAGGCTTGGAAAATCGTCCATTTTTTGGAATCAATCTGATATTAGGTTGAACCGAAAGTTCTGTCGTTTCATTTTCAAAAATTTTAAACTTTGTGCTGTTTCAGCGGATTTGCTTGTCTGTAATTTTATTAGCAAGATGTCTTTCGCTTTCAAATGCTATTTTGCGGAGCTTCTGTTTCACATTGGGTGCGGAGAGAAAAATGGAAAACTAAGACCATATAAGATTTGACCATTTTAAGTTAGGTCGCCAAAAATCGGGAGCGCTGCAGAAAAATCTGGTACATATGTTTTTTGACCTACCCTTGGCAACTGTGAAAAGTTTGTGCTGTTTGGACGTCTCTGTGAGAAGTTATGATTTTCACGAAAATTGACAAATTAATTAATTTTGGCGTTTTCCATAGTAAACTCAAAATTTATAACTTTTCACAGAGACTTCCAAACAGCACAAACTCTTCACAGTTGCCAAGGGTAGGTCAAAAAACATATGTACTGACGATTTCAGATTTTTCTGCAGCATTCCAGATTTTTGGTGACCTAACTTAAAATGGTCAAAATAAAATGTTCAAAATGTTTAAAATGGTCTTATAGGGTTTTAGTTTTCCATTTCTATTTCCGCACCCAGTGTGAAACAGAAGCTCCGCAAAATAGCGTTTGAAAACGAAAGACATCTTGCTAATAAAATTACAGGCAAGCAAATCCGTTGAAACAGCACAAAGTTAATTTATGAAAATGAAACGACAGAACTTTCGGTTCAACCCAATATACTCTCTGAAGCATGCTCATCTATAAAAATGCGTAAAATCAGAGTTCGGTGCTTCTTCTAACTCGTTTGTACCACCGTGTTGTGCCATTATGAACTTTTTATTCCAACCTTTTTTAAACCGAATGATTTTTTCTAAAGCTGAAAATTTCCAATGCAAGACATATGGGCTAACCTAATGACTCTTGTTATAGTGGTCGATAGACGTGGAATTATTAGCAACTTAGCGGTACAAAAAATCACCCCATTCTTATTAGATTTTCAACCTATAGTTGCACAAGCTCGCGAAGGCTTTTCGTTCCCAAAGATACCAGCCTTAATTTCTTGAGACACTGCCTTCGAGAATATATACTCCAAGAACCACGATTTTGGCGATATTTGCCAAATGGACGCCACATACTGCATATTGAGTTATCTTACAAGTTTTGTCAGTTTTTGAAGAACGTGTAGCCTAGTGCATTGTAAATTCAGATGCATTTGGACTTATATTCGATGCAGCTCTTTCTTTTCTTTCTGCTCTTTCCATTTTCGATTTTTTTTCCAACTTCTTGTCGTTTTTCAATAATTCTAGGAAAACTTCACCTGCCATCTCTATCGAGTTTGGTTAATTTTTGAAATGTTGTTTCAAATTTTCGGAGTAGATGTCAAGCAAAAAAAGCAAATCTCGGATTATAGTGAATTTGGATTCTTTCGAACTTTTATTTGAAATTCTTTTCTTCAAAGATCTCAATTTTTGGTAAAATTGCGAAGTAAAATATGATAGCGCAATGCTCGTAAGTAGCCAATGGTCAGATGAACAGTGGTGCTATTCTCAATTATTACGAAAGTTTTTTAGAAGGAGTCAATGGAAATTGTCAGAAGAACCCACTTTTGGCATTTCCACGGTTCTGAAAAATTACTTTTCATTATTTTTGTTTTTTCCTCGCTAAGAAATGAGGAAGTGTTTCTCCACTTACTATAAAATTTTTAGGAAAAAAGAAGAGACTACTTTTACTATTAACAAAGAAAATATTACATTAACCGCAAAGCTAGAACGCAATTTCAAAATTCTAACAGTACTGTATATGTTGAGAATATTGAGAATAATAATATTGAGAATGGGACAACAGTATATGTTGTCCCATTCTCAATATTTCCGTTTCGCGACTCTTATTTCAAGAGTGGCATAGAAATGCATGCGTTAAACGTGGCGTTCCAAAAAGATCTGGTTCAAGTACTTCGCTTGAAGCATTCTATTAGGTTGTTGCAAAAATAATGTCCGTTTTTCTAGACCTATATTTCAAACAACTTTTTTCCCATCAGACTTTCTTTCTCGATATAGCATCTGCATATCATTGGAAAGCTCTCTTCATGTACTTTCTCATGGCGGTGAAATTAAGCTGCTATCTTCACTTGTGAGAATTTCACCAGCATTTTCCACATCCGCACTCAAAATCAGAATCTCATAGCTTCCACTTTCTTAACCGCAATTCAGGAGCAAATAAACGAACTCTACTGAAAACATAGCAAATGTATTTAGTGAACATTGTTTACCTACTGCGTGCTTATGTAGATTTTTGGAGAAATGTGGGCTGAGAAATTGACGCGTCAATATAGACACTCGCTGCTGGCATTCTATGGGTCAAAAATTTCTCATAATCAAGGCAAT